GTCTCTGGCTCGTCTGCTCCATCTTCCTTTTTATGGCTTTCTGAGGTCTAGGACAAAACTCTAAGATAGATTGCCTTCCCCTCGCTTCTTCTTGACACAAAATTGAAAACCATATGCCATTATAGATCAGTTTAACTTACTCCATGTCAAAATTAAATTGGATTCTGGATCCTTTTTCTATGGACCTGTAGTCTAAGGACAAACATACACAATTGCAAAACGGTAGAAATGAGTATGGGCCTGACATTTTCCTGCAGAAAACATGAAAAATATATGTCAAATTTATGTTTCTGTTATGATTTGTAAAAATGTATGTTTAAGTTCTTTTAAGTATTGCATATTTTTATGGATAAAATTGCACTTTAAAGAATGATAATTTTATATTTTTCTTACAGATACAATAAATAGTAGAAGTGGAACGAAGTGAAGAAGAAATGGAGTGAAATGGAGGTGATGTTGAGCAAAAGATGACTCAAGAGATTGGAGCCGAGACACAAGTCATTAGATGCCTCGACCCTCCTACCAAGCGCCTTGGCGTCACCTTCTTGGGCGTCTAGGCGCCAATGTTCAACCATGCAGGCACCTAGGTGCCAACCCACTCGTGCCAAGGTGCTAGCAATTGTTTGGCAGTTTTCAGCAGTTTTCCCATTACATTGGGAGTTATTTGATAGATATAAAGGAGGTTATTAGAGAGTTTTGTCTAAGTTTTTTCATCCTACAATTTTATCTAAGTCTTTTCATCCTAGAGGAGGATAGTAAGGTAGGGTTTGTTGTAGGGAAGATTTAGGTGAGTTTACTTAGAGATTTTAGTGAGATTTGTGAGTTTTATTGGTGAGAAGACATTCAACATTACAGCGTTGATTGGGTGATCCTTTGGGGAGGCCTTTCCAACACTATGCAAAAGGAAAAAAGCAAAGTATTGTGTACTCTTTTGTTTAATTTTTTATGTAAACACAAGTCTAGTGGATATGCTTTGTTTTAAAGATGTTTTGTGGTGTTTTCTCAATGCTTTGTGAGTAGTCTTTTTAACTTTCTCCTGTGATGATTAAGTAGGAATGGTATATATACATGTATGTATATATATATATACATACATGTATGAATATATATATACACATACATGTATGTATATATATATGCATACATGTATGTATATATATATATATATATATATATA